TGTGGCCTGGTCTCCACTCCATATGGTTAAGGCAGTGGCAGATGCTCTGTAGGGAGCAGCAGTACATCACCGGGGAAGGGGCTCAATGCCTGAATAGGGTCACCCGCTGCTGATTGGGTTCTATACCCCCAGGGCAATCTGGCCTCAGTGCAGCATCTGGTTGTCAGCAGGCTGATTGCTTTATCTTCTGGCTTTCATCTGGATTAGTTGGGGGCACGGGGGTCAGTTGTTTTTTGTTGGAGGCTGTCCAGTGCGTCAGAGGCTCAGGTGGGATTAAGATGCAGGCTTTTCCAGGTTCTTTGCTCTCTATAGTCCCTGGAGCTACAGTAAACCCTAATTACAGGTAGCAAGAGCACCTGCCTCTTACTAGCCCACTTCTCCTTTGCAGCCCAGAGGGCTCCCCTATGTGACTTTATCTGTGGCTTTACAGTAGTGGTACAGAGAACAGCGCTCTTAGCAAAGCTGTGTCCCCCAGGCTTTGTAGGTATACCCGACCAATATTTCTTTGCAGTAAAGCTCTCCTTGTGTAGACACAGCCATTGGAAACCAAAGGCAGCTGGTATAACAGGCTAATAAAGCTTTCCAAAGACTGTTTTCTCTCTCGGAGATGCTGTGGGCTTCTCTACATCACAGAGCCCCCCAGTGGAGACACCGTGTGTTTCATAGATTTCATAGACATTTGGGCTGGAAGGGACCCAAAGGATCATCAAGTCCAGCCCCCTGCCCCAGGGGCAGGAAGTCAGCAGGGATCATAGGATCCCAGCAAGATAAACATCCAAATGTGTCTTGAAGGCATTCAGAGTGGGTGCTTGACTCACCTCCAGCGGCAGTCTATTCCAAACCTTGGGGGCTCGGACAGTGAAGAAGTCCTTTCTTATGTCCAGCCTGAATCGGTCACAGTGAAGTTTGTGACCGTTCAATCTTGTCATCCCTTGGGGCGCTTTGGTGAACAGATGTTCCCCCAGATCCTGGTGAGCACCCTGATAAACTTATAGGTGGCCACCAGATCACCCTGAGCCTGCACTTTTCCAGGCTGAATAGCCCCATGGCTCTCAGCCTCTCATCATAAGATCTGTTTTCCTGACCTCTGATCATGCGTGTGGCTCTCCTCTGCATCCTCTCAAGCTTCTCCACAGCCTTTTTGAATTGTGGAGCCCAAAACTGGACGCAGTACTCGAGCTGTGGCCTCACCAAGGCCAAATACAGTGGGACAATGATGTCCCGGGATTTGCCTGAGAGGCATCTATGGATGCAAGCCAGCGTTTTGCTCACTTTACTAGCCACAGCATCACACTGAAGGCTCGTGTTCATCTTGTGGTCAACCACGACCCCCAAGTCCCTTTCATCTGTAGTGCTAACCAGCGTAGCACTGCCGAGCCTATAAACATGCTGCAGGTTTTTCCTCCCCAGGTGGAGAACCTTGCATTTTTTGGTGTTGAACACCATCAGGTTCTTGTCTGCCCATTTGCTGAGCCTGTCAAGGTCAGCCTGGATCACCCTCCTGTCCTCAGGTGTGGCTGCTTTGCCCCAAAGTTTAGTGTCGTCAGCGAACTTGGCCAGTCCGTTTCTGACTCCAATGTCCACATCATTAATGAAGATGTTGTACAAAATAGGTCCAAGGACAGAGCCTTGGAGGATCCCATTGGTCACAGCACACCATGACAATTGACTTCCGTCAACCACTACCCTCTGGGTCCGACCACGGAGCCAATTTCCTAGCCAGCGGATCGTGATGGACCCAAGGCCACAACTGGCCAGTTTCACCAAGAGACGATCATGGGATACCAGATCAAAGGCTTTTTTGAAGTCAAGATATATGACATCAATCTCTTCTCCCTTGTCCAGGTGATAGGTCACCTGGTCGTAAAAGGAAATGAGATTGGTCAAGCAAGACCTACCTGCAACAAACCCGTGTTGGGTATCCCTCAGGATATTGTTGGTAAGAAGGAGCAGTGGCTGGCTACACCACATCCTTAAACAATGAAACCGAGGGACTAAATCACCCCTTTGTCAGCATGGCTGCTTCTGTGCCAGGAGACCCTGCCAACACAGCCGTATTGGCAGGGGGAGCAGTCTTTGTCATGCTTCAAGCTGACACAGCTCTGCTGGCAGAACTCTATAGCACAGATCAAGCATCACAGTGGTGCAATAGCTAATGATTCAGCAACCATTCCCTCTCCTGGTAACCTGGGATCACACAGCAGGCTCCAGGTTAAATCAGCTGGGGTATCTTGGCTCAGTCCCCACCTTACTTTTTTATTGCTCAGGCAGCCCAACATTCCTGTTGTGCATGATCATTGCTTTCTGCTCAGCACGTGATAGCTGCAGCAGATTGTGTCCTGAGTCAGGATCACATCGGCAAATCAGCTGGCAGCACTGTCCATTGATCCTGTTTGCTGTGTCCTTTTCTGTCTGGCACTGTCAGCTTTTTACATCCATTGGCACAAGTTTAACCAAAGTGTACGGGCTCTTTGGAGACTAGTTAATTCCCCAGAGGCACCTAGAGAGCTAGTTGAACTCCAGCACTAAGCAGGAGGATGTGAGACTGGGTCTTGGCCCCTGGGAGCATAGTTGGAAGTCCGAGGTGGAGCTTCTTCTCCAGCTGCTCCAAACTGCTTCCTTAGCTTGTTACTGGCATGACCAGCTTCCCTCTGCTACTGCTTCCTGGTCCTGCAGCCAGTGTCCATGAAGACAGGAAAGCCCTGCCCTGGATTTGGGATCTGCTCTGTTCACATGGGCAAGACAAGCAGCAGAAGTGGATGAGGAATACAGAGCTTTGGGAAGTGTCCATAGGAGGAGGTGATGGCAAAGTGTGGAGGGAGCAGTGCAGAGCTCTTGCTGGCAAAGGAGGAGCTGGGTTGATTGATCATGATCACTGCCTTTAGGCACTAGTTCTACTGCAGGGCAAGGGGGGAAATAGGCAGACTAAAATCCCCTGGCTTAAACTTTATGGCCCTCTCCACCTCAGAAGGAAGCCCATTGGGATGGTTGCCTCCAGGCTCTCGGAGTAGGAGCCAGTCTCTGCAGTCTGCTCCCTGATCCTATCAATGACACACAGGCTGCCCAGGCTCTTGCAAAGCAACCTTGGGGTAGCTTGGATTGCTCTGGATGGGTTGGGGATGGTACTGCAGCCCTCTGGAGCCAGGGCTGGGGGGAGGCATCTGCCTCTTGGACAATAAGCCCATCATAGCAGTGAGCACTGCAGCTGGCGGACGAGGGAATGGAGGTGGTGAAGGGGGAAGGTGACACAAGGCAGCTGCTGGCCTAGGGGCCATAGACAGAGCCTGGCATGCAGAGTCTAATTGGATAATAGTCTAGTTGGGTCTCACCAGCCTGTAGCAGGCAGCCTGCCTTTGCCCTATGCACAAATCCAGGGGGCATATGCCCCCCATGCTTCCCCTAGCCCTGGGGCCCCATTCACCCCAGTCCCTGCCACACTCCCTCCTTCACTGTTGGGGGCCTCCATCTTCCACTCCACAGATTTACCAGCTTGGCACTCTGTACATGCGCCAGAAAAAAAAAATCCTGAAATTTGATCTCTCTATCAGGAGATCACGAGTCAGAGTTAATTTGACTTGGAAATCAGGACTCTCGTGATTTTTTTCATTAACTGAAAGTCTGTTACAAACTGTGTGAAGCCAAGCAGGCTCTGCTTTGTCAGTCTTGCATGTATAGCCAACCAGACAATCCTTGATGGGACTATCTCAGTGCACCAGCTCTACCTACTCCCACTACCCATCCTTTCGAATCTCCCTTCCAAGTTTGTCCTAAAGCCATTTGCCATGAACCCACCCCGCGTCCCTACCTACTTGACTTAGTGCAAGGTTGGGGGCTGCTGAGGGCAGTGTGAAGGCAGCCCCTGGTCTCGGGAGGGTTTTGTCCTTTGTGGCCAGCCTGAAGCAGCATCTAAACAGAATGCAGGGCTCTTCCTTCCTGAAATCACCTACTGCAGAAAAACAAGACCCTTCACCATGCCCGGAGGAGCTGTGTCAAAGCAGGACACACAGAGCAAAGCATCTCAGCTCTGACCAGACCTGCAACTCGTACTGCATGTCGCTTGTGTGGTAGCAGATAATGGCCACTCAGTGAAGGGACCAGGGCTGTCTAACCTGGCTGCCCAGCAATGGGTGTGAGCAAAGGTGTTGTGTGCCTGCATGGAGCCAGGAGGACTGGCTTCAAGCTGCTAGCAGTTTAGAGGTGGTGAAGGGGTCTGTGTCAGGTGGGGATGGAGCTCTGATCACCCTGGCCGCACCCAGCCCCTGCAGCTGACCAGATACTTTTAGGGTGCCAACTGCAGTGGGGCCGTTGGCTGACGCATTGGCTAGGGAGAGTAGGCAGCCCAAGGTTCAGTGTCTGGCTGGTGGGTGTTGCCGGCGTCTGATCTCCCCATGGCTGCTTCTGTAATTGGTGCCAGGGCCAAGTATGCCCTGGTGCCTGGAAGGACATGACCTGGCATTTGCACGTGTGCTGAAGAAGAGCAGGTTACTGGTGGTGACGTGAGGCCTCTGCTCCTGTTCCGTGCAGCAAGCTGGTGGGCATGCTCTTCCTCTTTGTCCCACTGCCGCACTCTCCTCTTGGGACCAGCCACTTCAGTTGGTCAACCCAGAAGTGCTGCTGACTTGCTTCCCTCTTCCCTCTCCTCTGTACGCTCATTAGCAAATGCAGAGGTGTGCATTCTGCTTCCTCTGACATATAGGGAGAGGCTTTTGTCACTAATGAAATTGCTGATGGGTCTGGGCTTTCAGCTCATAATTCCATGAGATCTTGCAAGTCCCTGAATGAAGAGGCTGATGTGTAACCCAGCCCAAAATTTATGAGCATGCGCTTGCCAGAGACCTCAGCCCAGTGAGCAGTTGCGAGAAACCCAGTCTGCACACTGTCTTGAAGTGAAAGCAGTATCTGTCTTACTCAGCCCCTCTCACTAGTTACTAGAGGGTCGCCACAGATATGGTGAAGTCTTGGTACCTGGCTGATACAGAGTGTTGATTCCTGTGTTGCAGGTGCCGATGCAAAGCCTATAGGACAGTCCCACAGCGAGAGCAACAATGTGGGAGTAGCAGATGCTCGACGACACCAGAGAGGACGTGGTGAACACCGGAGACACACCATCACCAATGGTGTGGATTACAGCATGGTAGGGGCACTGTCCTGTCCTGGATACCCATCCACCTACCCCAGCTCGTGGGCAGGCCTAGAATTTTGAAAAGAGGGGGCAGATGGTGAGGTGCATCATCCTATATAACACAACCCATTTTTGTCCTGTTAAAAATAAACTAGAAGCTTTTATAAACTGATAGGGGCCTAGGGCTATATTATTCACTTTAAGATTAAAGTAAAAACAAATATATTTTAATTGGAATGAGTTAAAAACAATCTGTAGGGTTATGAAATAGGGGCTTAATCCCCAGGAGTGGCTAACAGGCAGCAGAGTTGCAGGACAAAGAATAGCTTCATTGGTGGAGCATCAAGACCATTGAAAAAAAGAGGGTTGTTAATTCCTGTGGAATGAAGAGTTTAGAAGGAATCGGGTAGATTATAAAGAGTCGTGAAGTCAGTTGACTCCTTCAGTGCTGCCTAACTAGAGATGCTTTTGCCACTGCCAGGTTGTTGGTTTTAAACTTTAGGTGGAGCAGTGATCAAAAGGGGGTGTAAGTGCATCGGTGCACCCCTCCACCCCAATCCATTCCTGCCCAGGCTCATCCCTGCCACCCTAAGGGAAACCTGTTCTCTCTTCCCAGATGTCCCTTGTTGTGTAGGTGATGGTTCTTTGCCATCTCATTTGTGGTCCACCCCTGAAACTTCATAGCTGAACTACTTTTGGGTAGCTTGATCTCTAGGCTCTCTCACCTAATGGTCAGATCTTGCTCCTGCTTTGCAATGAGAAATCTTTTAATATGTACTGATGTGCAGCGGAGCTGCTTGCAAGGTTTCTCCTCTCCTGCAGCACTCTAAACTTGGTCAGGTTTAAGTTTGCCCTTCTGGGTTTGTGGTGGCCTATGGTACGACCAGCCTTTAATGCTCTGGAGTGGTAAGGGGCCAGAATTTGTGCTCCTGCCCCCCCCGTCTGCTCTCAATGATGGAGGGCACACGCAGGTCCAGATACAGCAACACTGAAGTCAGCTGTGCTCTGTGCAAGTGCAGAGTTCTGCCAGGGCTCAGGATATTGCTGGATCAGGGCTTTAAACATGAGAGGGGTACATCCTATGTTCTGTCTCTTTGCATTGCAATATCTGTAGGTGAGTGGTGGAGAATCTCCCCTATACAGCATCCCCTCTGCGACCTTCTGTACCAGTTACCAGGCATAACAGGCAGGGAACAGAACATGGCAAAGCAAGGCTCCATTATGTCTGATCACCAACTGGCACAAATTCTTTGAGCTCTTTTCCCAGCAGCATCAAATAGACTTGCTGCTCTGTTTTAACTTGCTTGGTGCTGGTGAGCGCAGGACTGGGGAGTCTGCTTCTATTTACTGGGGTGGGATATCTGCCTCTAGATAGCTGTCACATACAGGAGTCTTGCCACGTAGCAGGGCACTATGGCCACTGTCGGCTTGCTTCCCTTGCCCAGGGTGAATGCACCTAGCAAGCCTGCAAATCCTCCCTTTGGGTAGGCTGCACTGTTATCTGTAGTGCAGTCTCCTGCCTCTCTGGGATCCTGCATACAACTGAGTCTCCCAGCGCTGATCTGAGTGGAGCTGATGGAGCGCATGGGGTGCCTTTGTGTAACATTAATTAAGTTGGTGCATCAGCTTCTGGCTGCATGACACTGCTTGCTGGCCAGGCTGTGCATGGTGGGGGGGCAGGGTTTTGTGCAGGTCTGAATGCAGAGCTCATGTGCTTGTGCTGCAGCAGTGCTGAGTAAATGTCACTAGAGGAGGCTTGTGCCCTAGGGAGGCTGTGGGACGAGGGCTCTGCCTCAGTTCAGCTTGACTGGACACTTGGTGTCACCGCATTTGAGCTGGGGGTTCTTTGCTGAGGGATCCATGCGCCAGGGGGAGCTCCAGTATCCGCACAGCTCTCCAATACTGGGACCAGCCCTGTGGGTCCCTGTCACTGGTGCATGAGGTAGAGGAGGGAGGCAGGGTGGGTTGGGGTTAAGATACTGGACTGGGGAGATCAGGGTTCAGTTCCTGACTCTGTGGCTCTGAGCAAATCATTTGCCCTTGCTTCTCTGTGCCTTGGTTTCCCCCTTGGCAAACTGGCAGCGACAGTGGTGACAATGCCTTGAGAGACCCATCTTGTGGTACTCCTGAGCCTCTCTCACTGTAGGAACCGAGTGCCCTGCCATCCAAACACACTTATCCTCACATGACCACTGGGAGGTGGGGATCTCCGCACAGAGTTGCCAAATGATTTGCCTAAGGTTGCACTTGCTGCTGATCAGGGAAGTGGAGCAGGAATTGATCCTGGCTCTTCCCTGACTGGCTGCTGCTGTTAACTACTAGCTTCACCTTCCTTGGGCAGGGGTGGTGGAGTGACTGTTCTCGCTGGTCAGCCTAAAACCAGATCAGCCCCTCCAGGGAATGCTTCTGTATTTGGGCAGAAAGTGCTGGATGCTGAAGTGTGCCCCGAGCCTGCCCACCCCATGGTGTCCATGAGCTGGGGAGAGGAGGGGGTTAGGATCTGCCCGTCTCCCACAGGCAATGCAGAGGCTCCGGCAGGGTGGGAGCCAGGACAGCAAGCATCTGGCTGTCATGTTTTTCACTTAGCCCATTGATCGACCTGTTCCCCTATGGTTCCTCTGCAGCTGGGATGAAGATTTTTACAAGAAGGTAAATTTATTCATGAGCAACCTGGTGGCAACCTCCCCAAGTCCTGCCCTCCCCATTCAAGTGGAAAGGGGGCCGCTCTTCTTCCTCCCATCCTGGAAAACGCCTCCTCCAGCAGCTGTGACCCACTGCTGGCATGCCCCATCCACCTGCAAAGCAGAGACAGCATTGTCCCACCAGCAGGCAGGATGCTGTCTTGTCCTCTGGTCACCAGGGTAGCTAGCCGGGCCAGGCCCAGAGGGACCATGGCGGAGCATTCTGCCAAGAGCTGCGGCCGGAGCTGGATGGGCGTCCTTGCAACATGCAGCACCCTCCTTGTACCTCTGAGCAGCAGCCAGTGCAGTGCCAAGGCCCTGCAGTTTTTTCTGTAGGTATGTCCCATGCTGTCCTTCTGTCCATCTGGCATTGCAGACAGGGTTGTAGAAAGTGGAAGGAGAGAGACTGGGTCAGCTTGGCTAGAATGGGGCTAGAATGGGTGGCAGTGGGGTGTTCTGGGGAGGTATCCCTGGCAGGCTGCATGAAGCAGTGGCTTGGCTGGTCACCCTCCAGTTTGCCCTTCTTTTAAGGAGGCAGGTGTGGTGTGTGAATCTGTTGCCTTTGGTAGTGTGAGCTGAGCCCTCCCTAGTCTCTAAGTTGTTTGTGTGTGGTGTCAGAGAGGTGTGCTGAGGGCTCCACACCGAAGCCTCACTGACAAGCTCGAGAGCTGGCTCTGTCTCCACATTCAGGTGTCCCTGGGCCACTTGCTGTCATGATGAGTTCATGTGAGGGTTGAGGAACAGCCCAAGGGCTTGGGCTCCCAGAGTTGGCACTAGCAGTCCCGGTCCTGGGATGAGGGACGGGACCCCCGGGCTGACTGTGGGACTAGGTTACAACCCCTTGGGAATGAAGCACATGATGTTCAGAAACCCTCCCGCCTGTCCCTCTCCAAGGAAGGATGTCAGGGGAGAATCTTGTGTAGTTTCCTCTACCATTATGTATGTTTTTGTCCTTCCTGAGTGCTTGGAGCATAGGGGGATGGTGGAAATGCCCGGGCTTTATCTGGAGAGCCATCTCCTCTCCTATTGCAGGCCCCAATCCTTCTGGCATCTCTAGGAATTGGCTTGGGAGGGAGTTATCACACTCCCCCCAGATTTGATGTCTTGTCCCTGCCAGGAGAACAAAAGCCAGAGCAGAGCAACACCAAGCTGCTGGTGCTTAAATAGCAGCCCTGAGCCACACGATACCTTGGCATTGTATCTTGTCAGGGAGATCTACAACCTTTTGGTTTCTAGGGTGCTTGTTCTTTGTATCCCATTTTCATCCTCACACTTTGGGTCCCTTCTTCCTTGTTGCAGATACATGCACCTGAGCCCCATCTGTCTGGGTGGCTGATATCTCCCCAGGTGATGTCTCCTCCCTGGGTGACTCTAGGGATTACTCTTTTCCTTTTCATCATGATTAAAGCTGATGACCTACTTGCAGCCTCTGGGCAGCACAGAGCTGCTTTATACCCACCCCTGAGCTACACCCAAAGTTTGTCTTGCTAAATATTCGCTCCAGCCATTTTGCTGCCAAGATTTTTCATTGTACTTGGGGACAAAGATCACTGGCGCAGGGCTGAGTCCTATCTCAGTGATGCTGTGGACCATGGTGGGCCTCCTGTTTCTCCATTCTCCAGAGGTTAGGACTCTTCTCTGTCCATGGCAGGTCCAAGTCAACAATGTCCATGGCACCATCAACCTTAAGTGACTGACTTCATCCCAAAGGTCCAAAGTCAGTAGGCAACCACCTGAAGTCTAGCTCTTGTATGTGCATGTGTGCAATGTTCAGCCTGTGCAATGTTTTCTGCTCTGTTTTGAGACTATTTGACTGCAACTCAGGTGGGGCAGAGTTAAGATGATGATGGTTCTGAGCTTCTGATATGAGAGGGGCCAACGTAACCCTGTTTTTTAGGTTTTTAGCATGTGTGTTTAGCTCAAGTGTTCCTGGAAGATCATATACCTTCAGCATGTTGGTGTGAGCCTGTAACATTCATGTTAAGTGGGAGTGTGCTGTCTACAGTTAGGCAGCAAGAGTCAGAAAATGCTGAGTTAAATTAGTAAGGGCTGGGATTGCCAACAGAGCCCATTGAATTTCATCAGGATCTGGGCACCTAATTCCCCTAAGCATCTCTGTAAAATTGTAGCCTCCAGCAATGGACGGTCTGAAATCAGAGCACAGCCCCTTTGGAGGTTAAATAGCAAGTTTCAACAAAGTGATAAGGGGAATTCTTGCCTCTGACTATTCCTAAGGCAGAAGTGGGGGTGGATATCCTGCTGTGGCTCCTTGGGCTGTAGAACTGGGATCTCAGTGCAGGGTTTTCTATTGAATCAGCCTGTTATTAAGTTGTTGCAAGATAGCAATGTACCTCACCCAGTCTGGTAGAGGAGGAGAGCTGTCATGATTCTCCCATGCTTGTGTGACATGCGTCTGAATGAACGAGGGGGAGAAACCTGTTCCTTGTATGGCAAGGATCTGTTGTGGGAAAGCCCTCATTGAAAGAACATGCTCTCTGGTGGGCCAGCTTCTGCCAGGTCTGTAGCAGTCACAGGGCCTCCTGTTGCGTTAGGCTGGCCTAGTAGGTCACTGAAACATAAGTGCAGTGAAAAAGCCACACTAGGCGCATCTACATGCGATGTTTACTGCTGAGTTGTCCAATTAGCTCCACAAGATGCATCTCGGCATCTACACGTGCAGGGCTATTAGGCTGGAGTAAACCAAAAACTGCCACAGGTTAGTACCTGTAAATACAAGTATTATCCTACAGCAGAGTTTTTTACTCTGTAGCAGCACACATGTAAATACTGATGGGGCTGGCTGGGGCACAAGTGTGCTTAAGTGCAGGAGCTGCCTGTCAGCTCGCCCCACACTGAATCACCCTCTTGCCCCAGCCAGCCCCTCCACAGTGCATTGAGCTGGCAGGCTGGCCCCCCCAGGCCTTCTGCCAGCCAGCGCTGCTCCTACCAGGCTCAATGTGCTGCAGTCCCAGATGGACATGTAAACGCTGTGGCCAGGAGCAATAAATTCTGGCACAAGAGTTGCACCAGAGTTTATTGCTGCACATGAATATGCATGTGTAGACACACCCACTGAGTTTGAGCACATAAATGAGTATAGACAAGTCGCATCCAGATATTTCCTCAAGAAGAGGGTGGAGCCACCTTTCAAGACAGACGAGGCATCTGTGTAGTGCACAACTGAATTCCTGTTTGTGGCATGGCTAGAACCAGCTCCTGGATAAAGCTTCACTCTGACATGGCTTTGAGCTGGACCCATGAGCTGGAGTGACTCGAGCTTTCTGCTGGGTCATGGATGGCTTCAGAGCAGAGGGTGGTGGCCTGTCTCTCTGAACACCTGGCATTGGTCTGCTCCAGGGATAGCAGCTATGAGCAAGCTATTCCTAGGGTAGATGTGTATATGATCTATGGCCTTTGGGTCTAATGATGGGGCATGAAAGGTACATGGGTTTTGTCTTGCAGCTGAAGCAAATGAAGGAGCTGGAACAGGAAAAGGATGTCTTGCTTCAGGGGCTGGAGGTGGTGGAGCGTGTCCGGGAGTGGTACCACCAGCAGATCCAGATGGTGCAGGAGCACCAGAAATACCTGGGCAAAAACAAAGCCAGCAATGTGAGTATCGGGCTTGCTCTGGGGGTTGGCTTGCCAAGGCACATCCCTGCCTGGCAGAAGCTGGATCTGGTTAGGCCTCAAGTTTGGAAGGTCCAGTGGAGCTGAGGGGTGGGGTTTTCAAAAACACTCAGCTCTGATTGCACCCAGGTGCCCCAGCTTCTGGGACAGCTGAGTCAGATGTGCTAAAAAGCATGCCCCACAAGTCAGGAGCTGGGCACGTGTGGGACATGCATCTGAAGAGGGGGTCAGAGCAGCTGGGATCATTTGCTTGTGAAGGAGCCGTGGGAGACAGCGGGTCAGATCATCTTCCCCTCTTTTATTTCATGAAAGCTGAGCAGCTCCTGACAGTAAATGACAGGGAGCCCCGCTTTGCCTGGCTTTGATCTACGCTGTGGGAGCCAATTACAAGATCACTCAGCCCCTGCGCAAGCATTAGCCTCTGACATTGCTGAGGCTTAGTGCTGCTTCCACCAAGGTGAAACTTCATAGCCCGAGCAAGCATGTGATAAAGAGCAGGATATCCCTAGTGTCCATGGACAGCCCAGTTAGCTCTGCCATCCCAGATCATGGCAGGGCTGCCCTATGGGAACCAAGAAGGGTCCCTGTCTTCCCTTTCTTAAGCATGTACACATGCACCTCTGCAGCCTTGCTCAGCTGGCTGGGCTTTGTGCTCTCGCAGATCTTGTGTCCTGGTGACTTTGTAACTCTGGGTAAGAGCCAGAGGAGGCTCCTTTATACCCACACCACTCTGCTTGCTAGAGGAAAGCACATTTCCATCCAGGGCTTGAGGTCAGCACTGGCTGAAATAGACTCACTCTGCCCTCCGTGCTTTGCATGCCAGTCTGGCCTTCAGGGACAAGTCCAGTGCAGTCAGTTCTGTGATAAGGGGCATGTGCAGATACTACAACAGCTAAAGGGTCCTTCTGTCCACATGCTGCAGCAACTGGAACCTTTGGGGATTGGCTCCTTGTTCTGTTTGCCAACCCCTGTTTCTGTCCTCAGGACTTCCTCCCAGAAGGGAGCCAAAGCCACCTGGGCCGCCTCCTACCTAAGCTGCAGGAAGTGATCCACTGCCTTTCTGAGCTCCTCACCACCTCAGGGAAGGTGAGCATTGTGTGTCTGTAAGGCCAGGCCCTTTGTTCCAGGCCTGGCAGCCTGCATTGATCTCTACTGCAGTGCCAAAAGCACCATGGATAGAGTGATCAGACCAGCAGTAGGAGCTTATGGAGGACCACAGGGGTACCCAGGGCTTCAGATAGGAGATCTGAGGTGGCACATGGAGAGCATTGGATCAAATGAGCCAGGACATGAGCAGCATTTGCAAACCAGTCCATGAAGCGCCAGTGTGTTCCAGAGCGATGCGTCTTGGCAGCATCTGTCAAGGGATTAGGCACAAAGTCCATAATTAAAACATCCTGTACTGCAGGACTCCAGCCCCTTTCTGGGACCAGCCACTGCTGAAGCCAGGGTGCTGAGTTAGACATGCCTCTGACATGACAGTCTGGCAGTTCCCTGTGATGTCAGTTAATGAGCTGTGACTCCTGTTTGCTTTAGTCCAGAGCAGGAGTCTAGAGCCTCATTCCCCTGCATGCCCAGGAGAGATCAGCTCTGAGGGGAAGGGCTGCTGGCACCCTTGGAAGATGGGAGTCCTGTACCTTGGGAGAGAAGGGTGGGGGTGTAACTCAGCTGCACCCATCCTGTCAGAGCCAAGCTGCTCCCTTCTCTTCCCTCTCCTGCAGCCCTGACCCCACTCCCCTTGCTGCTTTCAGCCAAGCAGAATCCTTGCTCCAGGGAAGGTGGAAGATGGGGAAGGCTGAAGCACTCTAAATATCTGAAAGTACAGGTAGATTGCATGGGCCTAGCAGTGATCTTACAGTGCTCTTGCTGGCTGAGGTGTGTACTGAAATGTCAGTGCTTCTGCTGGGGAAGGACTTTGCAATGAACTACCTGCAGGAGGCAGTTATAAAGAGAGGGGCAGGACTGAATAGTGGCCCCGAGCAGAAAGGAGAAGAAAGGCAGGGGTGGAAGGAATCTCCTGAGGCAGAGCCCAGCCCCAGTAGTTGCCAGTAATCGTATCATGCAGCCCTGCTTAAAGCTGATCCAACCCCATCCTAAAAGGCTCTCCTTCCCCCCAGGCTCCTGCTACTCCTATTTCAGGGCTGCTCCAGAACCTTGCTGCTGATGGTGACAAGTCTTGTACCAATCTTCGGCTTAAGCTGCCACATGGCTAGGTCACACCCTTGTGCTACCACAGTCCTGTAGCTTCTACCAGCTCTTCCCCCTCCCTGCTTGCCCCTAGCTCTATTTACAGACAGCCCTTTCCTTTCCTTGGGGGGGAGGGGGGGCGAAGCTGGGGGCTGGAATGGGGCCTGCCTTGGCTGCACTGCTGGGCCAGAGGGAACGGAGCCCCCAGGACTCCCGTGCCCACCCTGCTCCGAGTCATCCCTGGAAAGAGCCCAGATGCATGCCCAGCCCCAGCCCGCAACAGCAGCCTGCCTTGCCCCGCGCAAATCTGGGGGCACATGCTCCCATGCCTCCTGGGGTATAGCAGCAGGAGCCGTTCCCCCTGGACAAGCTGCTCACGGCTCAGTCCCACGCCCCGCTGGCTGTGCGGTGACTTCTCTTCCCACCACTACTGCAGCCGCTGGAAACCCTTGGCCAAGCTGCCTTGTAGCCCTACTTCTATCCTACATTTGTGGGGGCTAAGCCCCATTAGATCCCCCCCCCTACTGCCACCTGTGCCTTGTATAGAGGCATTTCTAGTACTCCCCTGTCTCTACTGGCAGTAGCTGATACATGCTGGGATCCTGTTCACCTCTTCCATAGTGGCAGTGCACTGATGGATCAGTCATCCTCTGAGCAGTGGCTATATCCAGTCCTTTCGTGCCTTGTTCCAAAGCGAGCTCCCAGTTTCAAGTGAAAAGTCTTGTACCCTTTCTTGTTACTGGGGACAGACTGAAAGATTAACTCCTTTCCATTCCCTTTCCAGCCTCTGAATTCCCCATCATCAGTGGTAAACAGACTGGCTGCTCCTGTCCCCACAGCATCTCTTGCCTTGGCAGGGAATCAGCAAGCCATCAACATGCTGAAGGAGCAAAACTGGCTTCTCACAAAGGTTAGTGTTGGTGGGATAAGAAGTTCCTCCCCCAGTGGAGAAACATCAGGAGCTGGGGCAAAGCAAGGGCAGGGCAGCCAGAGACATGAGGCTGTGAATGGGAACCAGACTAAGAAGGGTGGGGGTGGGAGGGGAATCTTATGCAGCAGAGATGGTTGGAGCCCCCACAACAGCTGGGGCTGTTCACACTGTGCTAGGACAGTGTGGGGGCTCCTCAGGGCAGCAGCTGTGGCATGTCTCTCCAGCACAAAATTTGCTTTCTGGCTAACTGGAACACCCTCAGGTTCAGGAGAACTGAACATCTGAGGTGTTTTGGGCTGGGCAAGACTCCAGGAGGAGCTTGCTGTCCTCAGCTGGCTCCTTGCCCTCATAAGGTCTCATCTCTTCTTCTGGCACAGGAGGTGACAGACAAGAGTGAGCGGATCACCCAGCTGGAGCAGGAGAAATCCTCCCTGATCAAACAGCTCTTCGAGGCACGGGCCCGCAGTAACCATGAAACAAGCCAGCTGGACTCCACCTTCATCTAGCCTCCAGCTCCCCCCTTGAGCCCCCTGCCAGAGCTATGGGAGGGAATAGTGCAGGGACCCAAGTGCTGCAGAAAGCAGCCCCCAGCCCCAGCACTTGAGTTTCTGTGGGTCCCAGGCTTCCTGCAGGTCCCTCTAGGGCTATGGCTCTTGTCTAAGACTCATCACTCCTCAGCACCTCAGTTCTGGCAGGGACTGCGATGCTGACAAGCTGCTTGGACAGACCATCTGTGCGTCTGACAGAGAGAAACCCTGACATAGGCCTCTCCAGATGCCAGTGGCACCTACTGTCCTACTCGCACTGGACAGCATTATGCTGCTGCTATTCTTCCTGCCCCTGAAACTCCAGAGATCTGCCAGGCTTCCAGCTTTGTTCCCCGGGTGTCTGGGGCATTGTCAGGCTCGGTGTGCTCCTCCCTCTGCAGTTGGGCAGCACACTGGGAAGCTGGGATGGCCTTGCTCCTTTGCCTAACCTGGGTCAGGACCAATTGCTGTGGGAAGAAGACTGTTTTCATTTAACACTCCATTGAGCACCAAGGGCACCAAGATACTTGCCTGCCTACCAGTCTCTTGCCTGGTTGTCCCACAGGCCTGGGCTGGATCACCTGTGATGGTATACTCTAGTTCTGCCTACAGCCAGTGCCCTGCCTGCTTGTGGCATCAAAATGAGACCTCACAACCATGGGTGGCACAGCTCTTCATGGTACGATCATCCCTCATGGGTTTACACAATGTTTACACTTCAGCTGGCCTAGTGAGTGAAGGAGGCAATTCCTACCTCTGAGATCTTGTTCAAGCTGCCTGCAGACATGGACAGGGGGTGGAGTTTTTCCTTGTGACCAAAAGGGTCAAAGTTAATTTTTGAAATGAAAGGCTAGGATCTGTAGCATGACATAGCAATTAGTGAGCTCCTGAAGCCTCAGAGCAGAGCACCCATAGGACTAAGAAACCTCCTGAAAGCATATAGGCTCTTCCCTTTCCTAACCCTGCCCCAGCTGGGGAAAACATAGCTGTTTTGCACCTCTGAACATGGTAGCCTCCTCTGACCTACATCTCTCTTCTATGTTTACAGGGCAGGTAGGGTTTGGGGAAGCAGGTGCTATGAAAGAGGGGGACAGGTACTGCTCATAGCATCTAATTTCATGTTTATGGTCTTCTCATTCACTGAATCACCTAACAGGGCCTGGACACATTCTGTTGTGTTCTCAGTACAGTGAAGGATGCTGTATTGTAGCTCTACTTTCCCTGTAGCCCAACTCCTGTTTCCCTTCTTTGGGAGCTTTTATCTTCCCAGCTGCTACCCTTTCCAAAGTCCAGCTTCTCTCCAAGTGTTTACCTTGAACATTAGCACATGACCTCTGCCTTCTGTACAAGTCGATTGACCCCAGCACTCTTTCCTGCCATGGCAGGGGGTTGGACTAGATGACCTACTCTGGTCCCTTCCAACCCTAGAAACTATGAAACTATAAGAGCTGCTACAACAGCTGGGGTGGGGAGGGGGGCAGGAAAGAGAAAAATAGTTCAGAGGGTGCTGTGTTCCTGTGGCTGTCAGCATGCACTGGGTCCAGTCTTTACTCACCAGCGCTCAGGTGGAAACAGGTCTCTGCTGCTTACCTGTTGCTCAGTCTCCACAATGCCTCCATTGAACTGATCAAATCTTTGGTAAAAAGGCTGTAAGATATAGGCCTCTTACTGCTACTGTCTTTGTCTTCAATGAATCCAGTTGGTCTCCATTAATAAAGCTGCTAACTCCATTCCCACTCCATCACCTCCCCATGCCTTCCCCCCTTTACCCTCCTCCCACATCTCAGTTTATGTAGGGTGGACTTTTTTTTTTCCAGGCATTGCAGCTGAGATAGTAGCATAACATATTTTTCTATAGTCTGCCTGACAACACAGCCCCCAAAAGAACAGCCATCTCTTGGGAAGAGCGTGAAGCGTACAGCATCCAGCACAGCAGAGCTTGAATGCCCACAAGTGGTTCTGGGTGTTGCTGCAATAGTAATAAGGGCCCCTCTGCAAACAGAAAATCATGATGGAATCTGGTTGCTGGGAATAAGCACTGATTCAGCCAGAGGGTCCTGACAATAGCAGCAGGAGACTCGGGCTCTGAGAGCCAGACCTACCCAATTCTGGTAAGGGGGTGAGACTGAAGCCTGGTTTTGTTATTCTGGCCATTCACCAGGCTCTCTGCTGTGTGAGCGAGCTGAACTCAGAGACCTTGGCCTCCTGGTCTACAGAGATGCTGTAGGAAGACCTCAACGAAGGGAAGGATTTTAGGTTTCAAGGTAATGTTCTGGTTTTGTGCTTAATCACATAGAATCTGGTGCATGTCTACAACACAGCAGGTTCCCCTGGACCTTCCCGCTCCCCTGTAGCCATCCCATTGAGATCTCTAAGCCCTGCTGTCCAGAGCCTCTGGGGGTCCCCTTCCCTTCTGTCCTGAACTCCCTGCTCTGTTCTCAGAGCTGCCCTACCTCCCACTGCTATGGCCAGTAGGAAGTCCCCACCTTGAATGTTTACAGCCTGGACTCTAGCTGCCAGTCCTGTATGTAGCAACAGCTGCTCTCCTCGGGGAGGTTTTATTGTGTGTATGAATGACACTGATAGCTCGCAATCTCTTTTTATATTTCAAATAAACACCAGAAAGAATCTCAAGGGATCTGCATTTATTCTGTGCAAGCCCAAGTGCTGAGACCCGTTTGCACAGAGTCTGTGACTCTGGTTCTGCTTTGCTGCTGGACAGCAACCCTGTCCACCAAGTCTTAGTTTCTGCCAGAGGAGGGAGCCCTGCCATGGCACATGGGCTGCACAGGCTGGCTTCTGAGAGCACAGTGAGGCTCTCCTGGCTGCCTTTCTTCATTGTGTGCAGGATCAGATCTGCTTGAGAGAGGATTGGGATAGAAATTGGTCCTTGCTCCTAGTGGACTGGGGATGGAAATCAAGGACTGGTGATGCACCTGGCCTCTGACCCTGTTTCTGGCTGGGGTGAGAGCTGATTGGGGACAGCTGAGCTAGCATGTAATCAGTGGGTCGTGAAGGGGGGTTTCTTTACATTGCTTGTAATAGGCTGCAGGAAAGGAAGTGGGGGATCCTGGCTGATGGGAGGACAGTAGTTCCCCTGATATCTTTGCACAAGATAGGTCAAGCTCCAGGCTTTATCTGTAAAAGCATCAGTGGGGCTGCATCCTGACAAGCTGGCTTTGCTGGGTTGCTTATCCTAGCCAAGTTGTTCCAAGCCAACTCAGGATGGTGCAGAGTAGCCAGACCACCCCCCTCCACTAGACCTCCTGCTCTCAGCACAGGCTGGCAGCAGCTCTGAGCGGCTACCTGGCACTAGGGCTAAGCTAGTGTACCAGTTTGGTTATCTGCAGCTCTGAAGTAAGGCCTGGTTCTGTCACAGGGTAGAGAGAACTTTCCACCAAAGTTGCTGAGGTAGGATCACCAGACCCTGCCACTTCTGTGGAAGGGGAACAGGATAGCAAATAGAGGAAGTAGTAAGGTGAAGTAGGAGGGAGTGGTCACCTCTGTCTGCTGGGAACTGCTTTTCCTTACCTGCACAGCTGTGGTGTGTAATGTGCTATCCATCAGTCAGGTGTGCTTTATACCAACATCTGAGTCACCTCTGCACCTAGCCCAGTAAACACTGGCTGGCCTGCTGTCATCACAGGCAACAGCTAATGTAAATGCATGCACTTTCCTCTATGTGGTGAAAGGTGCTAGTCCTGACTCGGATCACTGCAGTTGGAGAAAGGGGCTCTGCTGTGTTCTCCTAGCCATTTCCCTCTTGCAGCCCTCGTGCTCTGGCAGCAGGAACACCCCAGCTAATCTTATCACACCTGCCAGGCACTAGTGTGTATGTATTAGACACAGATATGGAGGCAGAGGTAGGTCCTGCTCTGCCCCTGCAGGAAGCCATGTTGCCAGGCACTCTGCCAAGCCTGTTGGGAAAACATGCAGGGAAAGTTCCCTGTAATCTGTGCCCACTGAATCACTTGCATGCTGACTCAGCCTGCAACTTGGGTGTTTCCTCACTGCCCGAGACAGCTGCTCCCCATGGACTAGCCCAGCCGGGCAAGACTTGCAGCCAGGACTACGATGTGAGCAGTGCCACGTGAGCTTCTGCTGCCCTATCCCATGCAGTTGCTTCAGCCTGAGATGCAATGAGGTAAGCAGTTGGCTGTCATATCTACTTCCTTCTTGGCCTTGACTGAAAAAGCTGGTACCTTAAGGGATGTGATTGACCAGGAACAAGGCTGAGGCCACAGACTTTTCATCCAGGACATGGAAGAGAGTGCTGTGGCCACCACCGCTCTGCTGCCCTGAGCAGGGACAGGTGGCCTAGAAATGAGAGGGGTTTTTTCCCACTAACAAACCACTCCCTCATCTCACTCTTCTAATTAAGCCCTCAGGTCTTAATTAAGAGTCAGACAAGCTGCTCTCACACCTTGGAAGTGGCATTTTCACTCTTGAGCTTAGTAGACCCGGCTTTGCCCTCCAGTGGGCAAGCTCCTCTCTGATATGCAGGGTTAGGCCTTACTTTACAACAGGGAAAGGAGGCTTAGCAAGGGGACTTGCCCAAGGCCACCCAATGACTCAGTAGCAGAAAAAATCCATTTCTCTCATCTCTCAGACCCGAGCTTTAATACTACAGCTGTTCTGAGGTCTAACACCACAGCTGCACAATAGGTCTGCCTTCCCAGCCTAGCAGAGTCAGAGAGAGGAAGGGCAGCTCAGTGGTTAGGGCACTCTGCTCTCCTGGGCTCAAGGGAGTTGCGTTCAGTCCTCTGCTCTGGCATAGGTGTCCTGTATGACTTTGGGGCATGTCATTTAATCTCCCTGTTGCCCAGCTGTAAAAAGGGCCCTTTTGAGGGGTGTTACAAGATGAAATGCAATAACGAGTGCAAAATGCTCTGATGCAATGGCAACAGAATCAAGTCATAAAGGCGCTATTGATGTTGCCCATAGTGCCCCTCTAGCCAGCAGTGTGGCCTGTCCTGGATGGGGTCCAAGCACAGCAGAAGGATGCTGGCACGTCATTGAAACCACATCCTCTTCTACCAGGCCTGGATTTGGGGCTGCCCATTAGATTCGTGGGCCCTTGCTGTCCTGTGTGTAAACTGCTCCTAACAGCCACATTTCTATAGCTTCTGACTAAACTCATTAGCAATTGCTTTCAAGTGATTGAGACAGCAACTTCAAAGTCCTGGCCCTGTCCCAGGTTGGTGGCTGTCCCCAGTTCTTGGCTGTTTCATGACTGTCTTTGGGTCTGGAGTCTCTGAGGTTGCCCCAGTGACAAAGGTCATTGTCCCCTCTGAATGCCATCTCTGTGCTTGGAGCCCCAGTCAGTTCAGCCACTGCCCTTGTCCTCTCCTAGCAGAGGGGAAAGATCTGTCCAAGCCCATGGGGCTTGGCTTGCCCTGCTTTGGACTCTGTCCAGGAAGGCATTACTCTGCAGGGCTATTGCTGCTTAACTACTCAGCATGGGGAGCTGGAGCAAGCAGCTGCTTCTGACTTGACAAGACCTGGATAGGAACTGTGCAGGGATCTCTGGGGTCCATGCTCCTCATTGCTGGCCTGCTGCACTCTTGGTTGTTCCTTCCTGAAGCTGCCCTGGAGTCCAGGGGATCTTCATGGAGCCAAGGATTGTGGAAACTGCCAGTCTCCAGCCCCAGAGCAGAGCTATCAGGTGGATCCACCCTGAAACTGAGGAGCCTGAAAGTAGTACAGTGCCCAGTTTGGGGCAGCTAATAGATTGGGAAGATCCTCCAGGCTGACAGACTGGTAAATTTAACCTAATAACTTGGCTCAAGCAAATCTTCTATCCAGAGGAGAACTCCATTCCCCACCAGTGCTTTGTACAGAGCTGAAATCATACCCCCAGCTCCTACTGACTGATCTTCCTTGCACATTCAAGAATTGCATTAGTCCTTTTTGCTACTGCAGCTCTCTGGGAACTCACTTGGAGTTGCTTGTCCACTGTGACTCCCAAGTCCTTCTCAGATTTCCCTTCTTCCTCAGACTCAACCAACAGTCCTTCAGGCATCTTAGCTTGTATGGGCTAGACTCTATTCTCTCATAGGCTGGTGTAAATCAGGAGTGACTCCTGAAAGTTGGTGGAGTTACATTGGTATGAGTGAAATGCTAAAGTTGGTGGGATTGAAGTCAACAGCATGACTCTTGGCCCAGTCCAATATTTCTAATCCAGGGATTTCTAAATGTAGCAGAGCACAAATTGGGGTGGTCCTGGGTCTCTCTCTGGCTGCTGGAATTGCTTCAACCTTCTTAGGTCCTGATCAAGTCTCATTTGCTCATGTTAGGGCCACAGATCCCTGCCTGGTGTGCATACTGGTGCAGTCTACTTAAATG